GAAATGACCTTCCCACGACTTTTGTCCACGCTCCTTCTTGTACCCAGTTCAAAGCACTACTAGACATTTATTTATACGAATCCTTGCACTGGCAAGCATTCTGCCCCGCGCTGAGAACGCGAAGAGCAGCGCTACACCTTCTTTTCACTTGTGCCTTTCAGGTGAAAGACAGCCGCCGGACGACAAGAACAAAACCGAGCCGGGATACTTGGGCAAAAGCCTCGATCCTGTGTATCAATCCGTGAATCCGTGAATGGTAATCCTCGCGCTTGCAAGCTTACTGCCCCACACTGAGAACCTAAAGGGTAGTGCTACGTCCTTTTTCGCTTTTGCGTTGCAGATTAATGGCAGCCGCTGAACGTCAAGAACAGAATTGGCCCGGGGAGTTTGGGCGAATGCCTCGATCGTATGCATCAACCCGCGAATCGGCCAGCTAATCAGCCAATCACAACACAAACTATCTGCCCCTCACGCGACTGGGCCTGGGCCGACGGTCTTCCTCGCTAGTTCCAGGGTCGTGTTGAATGAAACGCTCCGGCGAGCGCCCATCGAAGCGCGCTTCCAGAAATTCAGTCAGTTTTTCCTATAGTCAATAACGATTTCTTATAGTTGAATTCTTCTCAATCATGGGATGGTAAGTTGTTGATTAGTTTTGATGAAAAAACTGGGTCAGCAGAGAACTACAGTCCAAAACGGCTTCGTCCGCGTCTGATCGCAAAGGTGGGTAATATTTTTGTCCTTTATATTTCCATTACATTGTTTCAGCCTTTGACAAATAATTGTGTAGGTAATGAAAGGGTAAGCTCGCCCGGCGAGTTGATACAGCCAGCTTAACCAAATGGCTTCATGCAGGCTTTGGAAATTGATCTAGTTTCACCAAGCACGCACGAAATGCCCATTTTTACTTATAAGCTGACCAACTGAGTAGTATTACTATTCTATGATCGCTTCCCAGGATATTCTCGCGTTAAAAATCCCGACATCGCAAAGGCCTGAAAATGTGTGTTAGCGTCAAAAACGGACAGACCCATCCCATGGTTAACAAAAACGTAGTTAATTAACTACCCAGTTGGATATTCTGGAAATTACTGAATCCTTTTCCATATGATGAGATGATCGACGAAAATACGGAAAGTGTGATCGCGTATGCATATTGTGGCACGTCCTTATTAAGTTTTCTTTGAGGGAATCCTAGGCAATGCGTCAAACTCGCTAGAACAGCGGACAGAGCTTGTTAGGTGGTTGAGGTGTGTACTTTGTCTCTTCGGTCTCTTGTTAGCAAAAGTTTTGTGGCGGGTAGATTGACGTGCCAACGCGAAATGAAAACGGTTGCTGTTAAGTTTAACCTTGTGGGATCTCTTCTCCCTTGGTGGTTTCACGTGATTCCCCTTGTCCGTAGATGGAAGTAGAAACAACTTTTGCCTTTGATGAACTTGCAAATTTCTGACCGGCCTGCCCAATTGGAGTTTGTCTGTGGCTGTCTTGGGTCTGTGTTCAGTGAGGTTCGCTAATCAAATTTTCCCTCAGCATGTTGGTGTTTTGTTTCAGTGGTTTTGGAGGATGTAGGCACCTTGTTCTTGACAAATTCCTCTAGGACCATTGTTTTTTGCATTATCTTTCTCTCATTTCATTGCTTATTGTACTAGCCTGCCCACCACCATGTAATGGCAAAATGACGCCTCACTTCAAACATCGCTCCCTTTGGTGTTCGGTGCGCGGAGACCTAGAGGTACCTATAGCGGCTGATGCTAGTACCACAAACTCACAAAAAGTTTCTCGTTGTTTGCTCGTGTACAGTGCGCACGCGTGCAATGAATACCTCATTTTCGAACGCTTTACGTCGTCGCTGTGTGGTGCTTTAAGTATCACTGATTTGTGCCAATATCACTCTCATCACATATATGAAGAAACCGTGTACTTCGCCGGGGGTTATATTAAAAAACATGACAACTGAGGAAAAGACGGAGTGCAACTGTAACAAACACTTCATAAATCCGTTGCAGTGCACATAAACCAGATACGGTTACATTTGTTATTAATATTCTACGGAGCCCTTCCTAATCGAAAAGTTGTGGTAATAGTGATATTCATTTATATCTGTTCCACTGCTGTCCGTCGTGGACAAACTTCCTTACCGTGCTGTGCACCTCCGCGACCCACCGAGCTATAATGGAGGTGTCCTTGCGACACTCGCATAGCCTTTCAGGCCAGGTTGGTCGATGGTTAGAGGTCTGACCAACACAGTCGTCTGGCCCTCCATGTTGGGGTTTGGGACATGTGTGTCGACGTTTTTGGTAAAAATGACGATGTACTTACATTTTCCGCCAGACACCGCTGGAGTGCAGTCAGGCTTTCAAGCCAAAGGCTCTGGTTGAGGACCCTAATCGTCTCCCTATCTAGGTGTGAGCGCCCTGGCAGATTCCCATCCCACATACAACCGTGGATCTTACGCATACAGATGTACTTATACCACATTGGCCGTCGCATGACATCAGCCGGGTCACCTTACTCTGTGCTTGCAGCAGGGCGAGTAAACGAAAATAAGCTGCTGCCTACACCTCCCTGCCTTTTCTTCCACATATTTTTTCTTCCCCTTCTCCAGGCTCTGGTGACCCTAATCGTCTCCCTATCTAGGTGTGAGCGCCCTGGCAGATTCCCATCCCACATACAACCGTGGATCTTACGCATACAGATGTACTTATACCACATTGGCCGTCGCATGACATCAGCCGGGTCACCTTACTCTGTGCTTGCAGCAGGGCGAGTAAACGAAAATAAGCTGCTGCCTACACCTCCCTGCCTTTTCTTCCACATATTTTTTCTTCCCCTTCTCCGCAGTTTGTGAATAACTCTGTCCTTGGTGACCAAGTAGATAGAACCGATGACTCCGTTCGTCCTGCATCGATTTTGCTGGTCATATCCGTGCGCCGTCCGGCGCCGACATCCTCAGGCATCTAGAAATCAATCATCAAGCCATGGCACCCAGTCTGCCTGGTTGCTTTCAATGTTCTCACTCTGATGCAAGGTGGACAGGAAGCTACTCTTGCTGTCACACTGGATTCGCCTGATATTGGTCTGTGCTGTATATCCGAAACAAGAATCCAAGCTAATTGCCACATCACTCCACGCGCTTCCGAATGCGCACCTCTGGCGATCCAGCGTTTCGCTGTGGCAGGATGTGCAAGGGTTGGTATCGCCCTAAGTCACCGAGCAGATGGATCGTTGTTTGACTGGATACACGGTGCTAGTCTCCTCTGCGGGTCGTCTGGCAACATCTGTGAAGGAGTCTCACAAGTGTGAGACTAATCGGTGTGTGTTTGCCTTAGCTTCTTACACCGCAACCGACTGTAGCTCCGGTACAATCGAAGACCAGTTTCATGACGCCCTGAATGCACCGGTGTGGCGAGCTAAAAGCTCAGGTACCGTTGTGGTTTCCGGGGATCTGCATGTACAAGTCGACAGGATTAGTGTATCTGCGGCTCAACTAAGTGGTCAATATGGATTGGACTCGGTTCGTACGGATGTTTGCGAACAGTTGCTTCAGCTGTGTGCTAATCACAGGTTATTTTTATGCGGCGCCAAATTCCGAACTAGCCGAAGTCGTCTGGCCACACAGCTTCCTCTAAAAGGGTGCTGGCTACAGACTCAAACTGGGCACATTACCATCATTTACGGATAGCACGGACCAATAACTGACTGTCACTCGTTTTGGAACACATTTGTGGATTATCACTATACCCTCGTCCTGGGTCTCTTCCTCCTTCGTTTTTAGGGTCTCGTAAGGTTTGAGAAGGTCGTATAGCAACTGAGATACTGTCAGATTCGAATGTCGGACGAACTTACCAGAATCGTCTTCTGAAGTCTCTTCCAAGTGCACAGTGCTGGGAGTTTTGCTTATGGCACTGCACTCTCAGGCGCATCCAAGAACTGAATATCAGGCATACCAGTGGCACTGCTTAAATTGGGGAAATATGCCAACCTTCCTCGAACACAATCTGGTGTGACGAATCATCAGACGTCAAAGGAAAGTGAGCGTTTGAACCATTTGTGAAGTCTGGTGGATACGGTTAACTAAGAAAATGGGAGAGTTTCAGAAAGCCGAAAGTACCCGAAAATTATTTCAGTTGACCCTCACCACTGGCCTTCGGAACCATGTTAGCGAAACCTTCAAGAATCAGAAGTGAGTGACTATCTTGAGTAAAGAAGGACGCCTCGACTGGTGGGCCGAATACTTCGAAAAACAGTTATGGCCACCTGCTGCCTCATATGAAGCCCACGGCTGGCGTAGAACCCTGGACGGCAAACGTGGAATTCCCTAAGACCCACCGGTATTGTTTAAAGGTGTCCTCAGTCAGCGCTTGTCTGATCTGTTTGCCTGCATTTAGGAAGTGAATTCTGTCCCAGACAACTGGGGGAGTCGGTGATAGTGCCCGTTTTCAAAAAGTGGGCTCGTAGTGAGTGTGGTAACCACAAGAAGATCAGCTTGACCACGGTTGTAACGAGACTGTTGGCGTCACTTTTACTTCATCGCCTTATGGTAGCTCCTGAAACACTGACTCGACAGCAGGAAGCAGGATTCCAGTCTGGTAGGGGTTGTCGTAACCAAATCTTTACAGTCCGTCAGGTACTAGGGCAACGTCGTACGTTGCGTATGTTGATCGATCAGGAGAGACAGATTCGTGAAAATAATGTTGGTTTCCGCCTTGGCCGGGGATTCTTCGATCATGTCTTTGCCTTCAGACAAAACCTTAAACAGCGGCACTCCTTCAGACGTCCCACACTGGTGGCTTCTCCTAATCTGAAAGCTACTTTTGGTTCTTCCGATTGTTGGAAACTTTGACATTGTCTGGTGATCAAAGGTGACCTAAATTTATATCCCTTATAAGGGCACTATATGCGAACTCCTATGGACAGGTACGAGGATACGGCAAGCTTTCTGAGTTCACCGCGTCCACTAATGTAAGACAAGCTTGCCTTTTGTTTTCAACTTTGTTATAGATGTGATGCTTAAAGTCTCTCTGGCTGCTTCGGAAACCTCGGCGCTGGAAGTGCTCGCGGGACCTTCGCTCACAGATATTAAGTATGCGGACGATATAACTCTCCTTGGTGGAAATCCTTCAAAAATACAGATCATTTTACATGACCTAAACAACTCTGATGCACGGTTCGACATGCGCTTCATACCTGCACAGTGTAAGGTGCTGCTATAAGAGTATGGGGTTTCAAACCCAAGCCTCTTGCTTGCTTTACGATAGGTAAATTTGTTTACCTTGGCAGTCGTATAATTTCCGGTGGACTGGTGGATGTGAGATTATTTCTCGAGTCGAAAGGCCAGGAAAACTTCCAACCTCCGACAACTATCGCGACAACGTGACCTCAGTTGGTCTGTCAATGGCAGATTGTGTAGTGCGATCCATTCTGTTTCATGGGTCAAAAACGTGGCCTCTACGCGCAGAGGATATACGAAAAATGTCAATGTTTTTCCATCGGTGTCACCGAAGCATTGGTCAGGTCTGGTCGGGACACCGGATTACTAATGTTGAGGTACGCCAGGTGATCCTAGGAAGAAGGAACTTTCCCATGATAGATGAATTACCCACGCTCCATAGGTTGCGCTTCCGTTGCCGGAAGACAGTCTGCCTCACAGAGCTATTTTCGCCCCGGCATTCAACTCATCATCAACATTGGCAGAAATGGCTCAATCGCGCAATCAGTGGCGCTCATGCATCAAGACCATCGCCTTCAATGCGCACCTACCCAGTCTGCGAACTAACTGAACGTCATCGCCTCCAGGACTTCGCTGTATGTTCTACACTCCCACTTCCTGGTGACTGAAACTGTAGTAGCTGGAAACATTGTGCTTGTGGTACACGGTTTATGGCTGATAAATTGAACTGAACTGAGTTGACCAGGAATCGGGGGAGTGGGCATCCTTACCTGGTGGGGCTTTTTTGTAAATCACCATGTGTTCATATAAGGATCGAGTTACGTTCACGAACTCCTGCGGTATCCTCTTTAGCGGATATAGTTCGAAGCACTGATCGATCTACAAAATGGGACTCACCCTTGGAGCTAAGGATCACAACACAAATGCTATAGTCATCATCATCATCAACGACAGCTTGACATCAGTGTTCAACACCAATGCTTCACAATGCTATAGACGTGCATCTGATATGACATGCAATCAAATATGGAGTTGCGGTCAATGCAGCATCCACCCAGTTGGAATCTTGCTCAGTGCTCACGCCTTAAGACAACAAACAATAAGCGACGCGAGGAGTCTTGTGGCAATGGGAGCCATGCTGACGTTTCTGTGATTACTGCATTCACCGCCAGTTCGCTTTCTAAAGATGAACACTATTGTCGGCCAACCCCAGTTGTGTGTTTCTAAAGTAGATGCATATAAGTTAAGCACTAAATGAAGAATTCACCGCCATCCTCTGACGGATCCGCTGAAATTCCGTTTTGACCAAGAGCACAGTTACCCTTGAGTACAGATGTACAACCGAATGCTTCTGAGGGTGAAGAGGATTCCGTATTCACAGTCCATGTCTCTGTAAAGGTCAAAAGTCCGGATGGAAATTTGCAGGTGGCCAACTTAAGTTTTTCGAGGTATTCTGTCCACCGGCGGAAAGTTTTTTGTTGGAAATCAGAGATATCATATCCGTTGGTGCTCTCACTAACAACAAGATTCGTAATACCCGTCGAACCCATCAAATGGAACAACCTACGGACATCCCCAGCACATTTCGCTCTTTCCATTTCTCCGAAATTCTGGATCCACCAAACCATCTGGTGTGTGCGGCTACTCAGTTTTACCTGGCGACAGGTGGTGCGTGGGTTGGGGTTGCGACCGGAGGGGATGTGTCGCGGGGCCTGCAGCAAAGTCGCCGTCCTATCGGAGATCCAACGCTTCGCGGGAGCTGGCTAGCTCAGTGGCAAATACACGAACTTACTGACAGGAAGGCCCGTTGTTCAAGTTCAACTCTAGTATATCAACTGCTATCTAGGCTTGAGCAACTTGGCACTGTTTCAGCTCTCGTGCTCCCTTCGGGTGGCTTACGAGCTCTGTCCCGAAAGGAGGTTATAGCTGACCGATTTATATATTTATTTATAATCAAGATATACGGCAATTCAAATTTTCGGCTTCGTCTGCAGCTTGGGATACCTTTCTTCGGTGGTCGTTAGGGTCCGATATCGGACCAGGTGCCGGTTTCCGATAAGTTTGATTTCTGAGTACACGATCTTCTAAACTGCAAACCTGAGTGAAACGCTGCAAGCTACACGTACCTGATCGGAGACAAGTGGAAGCACTGACCACCGGTGCGTATTCTTCATCTGCCAGCGTTACTTCCCCAATCGACTGTACGGACTTTACCCCTGGGACTGAAGATGGATTCTACCGATATCTGCCACGGCTGTTTCTTTTGGCAATAAGGATGGCTGTTATGCTGACAGGTGATATGGACTGCTCATTGAGAAGACTAAACCCAGATTAAACACATTTATATGTTAGATGCGGAGTCGATGCTCATCATACAGATATTAAGGAGCGACTTTTTGGTTTCTAGCGTTTCCAGCGTGTACGAACTTCCAGCGCAAGCTCACATGCCGAGTTGCTCGAGGGTCGCCAACTTCAGGTCGGTCATATACTCCGTCAGGTCATGTGGCTGTTGGTTAAAATAAAAAATAATCGTTCAGCTGCAGCACCCGTTCGCTGCCTAGCTGTCATGCCACCCGAACGAAGCACAAGGGCTGGGATACCGCCTGGTTGTTCAAGCCTAGACAGGGGAAGCCGAAATACAGAGGTAGAATTCGAACCGCGGATCTTTCATTCAGTAAATTCGCGCTCTAACCATTGAGAACAACCTACGGACATCCCCAGCACATTTCGCTCTTTCCATTTCTCCGAAATTCTGGATCCACCAAACCATCTGGTGTGTGCGGCTACTCAGTTTTACCTGGCGACAGGTGGTGCGTGGGTTGGGGTTGCGACCGGAGGGGATGTGTCGCGGGGCCTGCAGCAAAGTCGCCGTCCTATCGGAGATCCAACGCTTCGCGGGAGCTGGCTAGCTCAGTGGCAAATACACGAACTTACTGACAGGAAGGCCCGTTGTTCAAGTTCAACTCTAGTATATCAACTGCTATCTAGGCTTGAGCAACTTGGCACTGTTTCAGCTCTCGTGCTCCCTTCGGGTGGCTTACGAGCTCTGTCCCGAAAGGAGGTTATAGCTGACCGATTTATATATTTATTTATAATCAAGATATACGGCAATTCAAATTTTCGGCTTCGTCTGCAGCTTGGGATACCTTTCTTCGGTGGTCGTTAGGGTCCGATATCGGACCAGGTGCCGGTTTCCGATAAGTTTGATTTCTGAGTACACGATCTTCTAAACTGCAAACCTGAGTGAAACGCTGCAAGCTACACGTACCTGATCGGAGACAAGTGGAAGCACTGACCGCCGGTGCGTATTCTTCATCTGCCAGCGTTACTTCCCCAATCGACTGTACGGACTTTACCCCTGGGACTGAAGATGGATTCTACCGATATCTGCCACGGCTGTTTCTTTTGGCAATAAGGATGGCTGTTATGCTGACAGGTGATATGGACTGCTCATTGAGAAGACTAAACCCAGATTAAACACATTTATATGTTAGATGCGGAGTCGATGCTCATCATACAGATATTAAGGAGCGACTTTTTGGTTTCTAGCGTTTCCAGCGTGTACGAACTTCCAGCGCAAGCTCACATGCCGAGTTGCTCGAGGGTCGCCAACTTCAGGTCGGTCATATACTCCGTCAGGTCATGTGGCTGTTGGTTAAAATAAAAAATAATCGTTCAGCTGCAGCACCCGTTCGCTGCCTAGCTGTCATGCCACCCGAACGAAGCACAAGGGCTGGGATACCGCCTGGTTGTTCAAGCCTAGACAGGGGAAGCCGAAATACAGAGGTAGAATTCGAACCGCGGATCTTTCATTCAGTAAATTCGCGCTCTAACCATTGAGCTCTCTTGCCTTCCCTAGCTGTTGACTACCAGTAGAGAGCCTCAGTTAAAATTAATGTTGCTTCTGGGTTGCACAGCTTGACTCCAGTCACGCTATTTCACGGGCCCAATTATCAGCTCACTTTCCATCAGAATATGCGGAGCGGCTCCTTTGATTAATTTCAACGAGTTTCAGTAGCTGGACATCATCGAGCCGACCTGATGATAAACCTGTTGGAAAACATTCATACAATCTGGCTAGAAACCGACTGCAGGGATGCCTCTGACCTTGATTAGCTTTTTCTGCCACAAACAGCGGTGCTCTGTTTCACCGGACTCGTTTGACCAGCTCAAAGGAGTGGGGAGTCAACGAGACCATCTACAAAAATAGTGGAACAGAAATCCATTGGCGGAACAGGTCTCTTGAAGGATAGGTTGAGCACTTCAAAGAATAGGTCAACTGGCCTCCTTCAGCACATTTTCCAGGAGAAGCGGACGAACCTAACTAAAACACTGACGCAAACCCGCAATCGCTAACTGAAATCCAGCGCAATACAAGGCAGGGCATCCGGTTCGGATAGTCTGCAGCCTGCACTATTAAGATGTGATGGTGCCTTGGTGAGCAGTTTTTTGACCCATTACATATTTGGAACGGAAGCGGGATAGTGGTGGAATGAAGCGTCCAGGGTTGTAAGGCAAGATTGCCATCTTTCATTATTCGCCTTCACTTTCGTTGGTGGCATGCTGCTTGTAACCTTCCTAAATGCCTCTGGAACCTTGGTTATCGAGGTGCTGCACACCTGCAAAGTGTAACGTGCTTCTACAAGACTGGGTGGTATCGACCCGAAACTTCACGCCTGGGGATGCTGTATGTGAATTTATTTATCTGGTGGCTGTGTAAGTTCCGGTTGGTTTGCTGGAGACGATATCAGATTTTGCCAACCTCTGACACCTATGTCCCTTGTATGGCGTCAGTTAAGCTGTCAATTACAGAACATAGACGATCCATAGTGCGATGCATACTAGTTTGTGGATAAGAAAAGTGGCCTCTATACCCAAATGGTGTGTTGAAACTGTCGGTATTCGTCCACTACTGACTTTAAAGCATTGTCCGGGCCATATTGACAATGTCAAAATCTCCCGTGGTCAACGAGCTGCCCACACATAGGTTATGCTGATTAGGAGTTGTACCTTGCATATCAGATAA